CCCGGGACGGAGCCGCTCCCCCTTCCCCACCCCCCCCAGCCTCCTCCCCCGCCTGTCCAGGGGCGGCACTGCGGGCTGGGAAGCCGGGACCAGAGGAGGGAAGGAGGGAAGGAAGGAAGGAAGGAAGGAAGGACGAGAACAGCAGGAGGAGACGAGACGAGAAGGGAAGAAGGTGGAGACGGACCCGGAGGAGCTGAGGAGACGCAGGGCAAGGAGGAGAGGGCGGCCCTTCCGGGGCAGCAGCCGAAGGCCAGAGAGGGGACCGCGCTGCTGCCGCCACTCCTCGGATGGTGACGAGGCCCCGCCGCGGCCGCAGCCCCCCCGCGCCCCGGCTCCGCAGGCCCTCAGTGCCGGAGCCCCGCAGGAACCATGCCCAGGTCCTTCCTGGTCAAGAAGGTCAAACTTGACACGTTTTCCTCAGCAGACCTCGAGAGCTCCTACGGGCGCACCCGCGGCGACCTCGGCGTGCGACTGCACGAGAAAGGTGCGAGCCGGGCTGGGCTGAGGGTGAGGGCGAGGGGCCAGGGCATGGCTGGAAGGGCTGGAGGGCAGAGGGTCAGGCGGCACAGACCCAAGCGAACCAGAAAAGGCAGAGGGGATGGCTGGAGCCAGGACTGTGGACGGAGATGGGGGATGGGGAAGGGGAGCCCAGAACCGGGCCACAGCGGCACAGGAGAGAGGGCGGAGAGCAGGGGTCCGGAAGGTGCCCACACCCTGCCCCTTGCCGGACAACACGGCCTCGGGGACACATGCCGACGGGACAGGTGCTGGTGTGGCGACACAGGCAGACTCACACCCAGGGGCCTGGGCCACTGCGGTATTCTCTCTTGGTTGCACCTCCAGGATCCCTGCTAGGGCCGGCCGGGGAGTGCTGGGAGCCTCAGGGAGTAGCCATGGGGTCCAGGGGGGCACCCACTTGTCAAGGCAAAGGTGCCGTCAGAGACTGCGGCCACATCTTCTCTGAAGCCAGGGCCAGAGAGAAAGGCAGAGCATGAGAAGGCCGCGGTGTGGGGAGCTGGGGGAGGTTCTTTGTGTAAGGGTGCCCAAGTTCAAGGACAACTGTTAGCATGCAGAGGAGGGGGCTGGGAGTGCCAGCGGCGTGGGGTGGCAGGACAAGTGTGACCTGCGGGAGCGCCAGCCTGTGTGTGAGCCTGTGTGCCCATGTGACTGCATGTGGCCATGTGACTGTTTGCTTGTGTGTGACCCTGTGTGAGTGTGTGCCTGCCTGTGTGCCACTACATGGAGCCATGTGACTCAGGCCGGCTGTGCGACCATGTGACTGGCGACCCCGGCTGAGAGTGTGGCCCTGCGGAGTGTGCCGGTGTGTGCTGACCCTGGGAGGCGTCACCGGGTCTGACAGCGGCTGGGTGGCTGGCTGTAACGGAGCCTGCAGCATGAAGGCTGTGCGTCTGTGGCTTTGCGCTTGTAAGATGCATAACGACTGCAGTTATTGCATGGATGGTGCTGTCCGCCTGCGGTTTGTCCCCGGGGAGGTGTCCCCTAGTGGCCTTGGTACTCTCCCCACTGCAGAGTCTCCCTAGCCGTCTGCTGGGGCTTGGGAAGGGCCCTGCAAGTCCTTAGGCACAGGTTCGGCTGAGGGAAGAGGTCGAGAATGAACAGGGTAGGCTCCAGGGGTGGGGAGGCCAGAGCGGAGTGAGGGGGAAGCAGAGCTGAGGGAGGGAGATGGCGCTGGAGCCGCCGGGTTGGGGTCACGCCCAGCGAGTACTAGGGGCTTGGGACATCAGAGGCGGTGGGGCTAGGCAGGAGTCTCCATGGCTTGTTGGGGACCCAGTGGGCCAGAGGGCAGCAGAGTCAGGGCCGGGCGTGGGCTCTGGGGGCGCGGCAGAGCCGGTGGGCACCCTGTCGGGCCGAGCTCTGAGTCCCGGAGCTCGGCGGGTCTGGCTTTGTGCGGCTGCGGGGCTGCAGTGTGTTGCATAATCAGGGAAAACTGCTGAAGTGGGGAGAACCCGAGGGGGAGGGGAGTGCGCAAGGGGAGGAGGGCGCGGGAGGCGTTGCCCCTCCCCCCTGACCTTGAGGCTCCGCGGAAGGGGGGCAGCCGCGCCCGGAGATGCGCCTCGCCCCCCCCGCGAGGGCGGGGCGGGCGGGGGCGGAGCCGGGGCCGGTCCCTGTCTCATCGCTCTTCTCCCCCCGCCCCCCTCCATCCCCTTGCTCCGCGCTCTCTCGGCCCCCCTTCTCCTTTGTCCTTCGCGGTGCTGGGCTCCCGGATGCCCGGGTCCCCGGCCTGCGTCCGCTCTGCGCCCCGCCGCCCGTTCCTTGTGTGTCTCACCCTCCCGCTGTCTGTCTGTCCGCCTCCGCCCCGCAGGATACCTCAGCGACTACGCGGGGCCCGCGTCGGTCTACGATGGCGACGCCGAGGCGGCGCTGCTCAAAGGGCCATCCCCGGAGCCCATGTACGCTGCGGCTGTGCGGGGAGAGCTGGGCCCGGCGGCAGCGGGCTCGGCCCCGCCGCCCACCCCGCGCCCGGAGCTGGCCACGGCCGCGGGCGGCTACATCAACGGCGACGCGGCAGTCAGCGAGGGCTACGCGGCCGACGCCTTCTTCATCACCGACGGCCGCTCGCGCCGCAAGGCTGCC